CATCATGAACACATTGTGGAAGCTGACTAGGCTTTGTAACCCTTGAAGTTACATGAAAGGATAAAATAATATCATATCGTTTCAATGCATGTCAAGCGTCTGTGCTTTTTTTTATAATTTCTTAGATGCCATGGAGCCTCGGACAGAGGACAGGTAACAAACTGATTAATGAAAATTGCCCCTGAATCTAATTTTAAACCCGAATAAAATAAGAAATCGAATAAATTTATTAACTTTTTAAACTGGGTTAAACTACTAATATATAACTAAGTAATTCAGCCAAGAAAATCTTAAAAGTGGCACCCAAAAAAGATCAAAATATTGTATTGGAAGCTTGTGCTAGCTAGGATCCTGCACTGTATAACTCCAATTTAGGCACCAAAGGTCATTAAAGCACAATGGGTATGAGAAACTACCAAAAAAAAAAAACTAGAAAGGCCGACATATTTAATGAAGGAGTTGCGACCATAGGTAAGCTGCCAAGAGCTCTGTGGGTGTTTCCTTTCTTAGGCAAATGGGATTCTGGGCTGGGTCCACCATGTTTCACTTATTGAATGCCCTGTATGACTTGTCACTTTTGCATGTGGGCTCACATGTTGCCTGTTGGGTCGTGTAGGATTGTGGCCCAACAGAGCCGAGATTGCGGGGAACCATGAAATTCAAACAGAATTAGGGAATGCATTTAGGTAATTGTCTTATTCGATCCTACATCATATATATTCTCTTACAAGTTTATACTTCAATCTTTGATATTATTTTTTTAAAATTATCTAAAAACGCATTTCTTACATTAGTTTAGTGCATTTAGAGCTTCGCATATGTATTATTTAACCCTTTTTTCTGATTTTTAATAGAGTGTTTAAAGTTACTGTAAATGAAAGCAATTGGATGTTTGATTATTCAATGTGCATGTTTCGTTTTTAAATAATTTTGTATAAATATACTTTTTGAATTTTTACTAGATTTAAGTATATATTAAGTCATAAATTGAACTAAAAATTGGATGTTTGATTATTCAATATGCATGTTTTGTTTTTAAATAATTTTTATAAATAATTTTTTTTGACCTTTTACTAGATCTAAGTATATATTAAGTCATAAATTGAACTATATTTCAAGTTTTAAATAAATAAATGTATATATATAGCTCTTAAAATTAATGATTATTAGAAATTCTCACTTAAGGTTACATTATTCAGAATTTTCTTATTTTAAACAGCCCTTTTTAATTATAGGTGACGTGAGTTTAAATAAAAAATGCATGCGTGAACAAAACTTTTAGAAATTATTTCTTAATAAATCTTGTCATTTTGAATATTTTCAGTGTTTGTTCAAAAGAGTAAAAACATAACTTAAGAAAATAACAAAAAAAAAAACTATACAAAAATGAACTACGGATTCAATTTTAAAATTCGATAATTAGATGTAATTAAATTATTTATGGATTTTAATACTTTATGTTTTTATTGTATTTTTAAGAATTGTTAGAGTTTTGATAGTCAAAATAAAGTGCAAATTTGATATTATATACTTTAGGAGTGATTTAAGTAGCTTATTTTATATTATTTTAGATTTCATGTCGTCTATAAACAATAAAATAAAATCAAAATGATTAAAGTATTTTAGGACTCATTTTTATTTATTAGTAATTAATAAAAAAATTTTAAAATCATCTATATTAATATTTTTTTGAATTAATAATTTTTTTTAAAATCATCTATATTAATATTTTTTTAATAAGATATAGGGTTATTTTACTGTACAAATAAAATTTAACAAAAGACTAATATACTCTTGATTTTAAGGTCATTTGTGCTTCTTCAATAAAAAATCATTATTTTATTATGACAATTTATAGTGATAATGAAATAATGTGAACAATAATTACAGTAAAATAGGGAGGTCTTTTAATTTATCTAACAAGAAAGAATGAAAACTAGGGGGGTTTTAGTAATGGATGGGCCGAAGGATAAAGGCCTAAAGCCTAACAAAAAAAGAGAGTTGGGTTGTAGGCCCAACCTCAAGATAGCACAGTTTATGTCCAATCAAGAAGTTAATTGGGCTAAAGGCCCAACTTCCCCACTACATAAAAAAAAAAAGAAGAAGAAGAAAAAAGAGAGAAGACCGAACAACAACCCAGCTATTCGAAGAGAGGCGCAAGGGAGAAGGGCTAGCTACAGTAGCCTAATGCAGTAAAGATCCCTCCCAGCAAAGTCGCTCCCATCAAAGAAACCGAACAGCAGGAAAGCATGAGAGAAAAAAATGATCGGTGAGCAAATCGAGGGAGGAGGGGGCAAAAAAAAAAAGGATAGGCCACTGGATTGCTATCATAACTCCAATCAATCAGACCATGTCTCGTAAGATCAAAAATATCTTGATAAATTCAATAACATCAAGAAAGGCCGTAGAAACCTTGAAGACTCCTTATGAGTTGCCATAAATGGCAGGCTGGTTTACACGCAAGCGAGTATATTACACGCAGCAACAATAGCTTTACCATCCATCTATCTACTTCAATTCCTAAATTTTCTATAACTTTTCAATTTCGTCTTTAATTAATTTGCTGGACCGAATAACCTTGGAGGGGAAGGAAAAAAGAGAGAAAATATTATCAAGTTGTGGAGAGAGGGATGGAAAGAAAGGAAATATTCTTCTCAATTCCTAATTGTTTGATGCCTCGGCCTAGATGTTTTTGTTAATTCAGAAGCCCTTTCGCTTTTACTGAACGCTGCTGTTTGAGAATGCTTGGTGATTCTTTTAGAATATGGACTGCCTTGCCTTGGCAGCAATTTGCTGTGACCTAAAGCATGGCTAGGTACGTTGAGCAGCTAGTTTCGTCAGGTTTCAGTTAGTAGTTCTCCTAGATATTCGTTTGCTTCATCCTTAAGCTCAAGAATGGAAGAGAGTGATGAGAATTTGACCCCTAAGCTGCTAGAGAGACTGTGAATTCAAGTGGATGAGCTTTCGTTCTGGAATCAAAGTTTATATATGTTTCCCAATTTCTTTTGTTTCTTTTAGCTTGAGTCGGCATAAAAAAAATGATCGATCAGACTCAATTTCCACTCTCTGGAAGTACTAATAGATATGCATTTAATTAGGTCATAGACTCATATATATTTGATTGTGTCGTTCATACTCCTAGATTTTATTTTGAAAAGAGCTGGATTATAATGCTCTTTCTGCCAACATACTGGACTTAGCACAAGCTGTTAGTACTCCGTTTTACTCTTTTCAATTCTTTGTTTTCCTCCGCATGAATTCTTCAATCCATCTACATGACACAATACCATATTTTCTTGTTTCCCTTTGTAACACAGCACAAACTTTAGCAGTTGCGATATCAGCCATTACAAAACGTTAGACAACTCTTAGCTAATTGGCTTGCTTATATTGGTTTTACAGGGTCAATATGTAAACTTGACCTGTCAAGCTGACATATATATGGTGCTCTTAATTAATTATTTGTTAATTATTTGTGTTCTTGATCCTGTCAAATGCTCGACGTCTAATTATTTTCTAGGATCGATCATAACCGATGTCTGTGTGATGTGTCTGTTTGTTTTAGGTGACGTTTGACAGTATTTATAATGCAGACATGGGACTTGATACGATGTTGTTTGATGATAAATATATAAATTACAAATTCAGCATTTTCTAACATCTATATCTATATGTATGTATGTATGTATGTATTTCCATCCCATCCTCACTAATTTGTGACTTTAACTATGTTTCTTTATTTAGAACTGTATATCTTTTGACAGATAGTATTCATTGACAAATCCCAGGTATTGCTGGATGCTGTACTCTTTTTTGTTCTTCAAAACTCAAAAGGAGATGATCTTAGTTGCACTGCACTAAATATTAGGCCTAAATAAATGTTTCCCAAGTAACATCACCTCTTGCATGCCCCCCTGCAATGTCATGCAGGAATAATCTTAATATATTATTAGGATTTGAGTTAATTAAAAGCTAGCCAGGTAGATAGTACTCGCTCCTTGTCATTAATTAAGAATGTGGAAATATAGTGCATAGTTTATTACAATTATAGAGCTTTGCTAAAAGTAATACCATCTTTTCTGCTTTGGATATTCTATTATTAGCTAGCTTAAACTCGTCTCGATGACTACCAATGTAAGCTTTCCATTTAGCATAACACAAGACAAGGAAATTGTCTAGCAAACATGTTGTAAACCCAAGAAAAAATGCCAGTAGCGCTGTCTCTATGTCAAACTAGCAAACTCGAAACATGTTCTACTAATTAGTTGAGTGATTGTCGATTCTGATCAAATTCAATTTTCTTCTAGCAAATGTTTGATTAGTTTCCCTCCTAAATCCTAACTAAACTTACTGAGAAATACTGATCATATATATCAATCACCCTAAGTTTTTTTCTTGTCTGAAACACGTTAATGCAATAATATGCGTTCTTCTACAAGTGGAAATCGATCCATGAATATTAATGAGACGAACAATACATCACTAAGTAAACAATTTCTATGTAAAACAACACAAAGAATTATAATCAAGGTTGATTTTATACTGAAAATAATTGACCCCATTATAAGCCCTAGCAAGCTGTTCATAACTAAAGACTCGTCTTGCTGAATTAATTTATTAGGGTGCCCTAATGAATCAATGACTAGTCATTTCCTTTGACAAACGTTTGCACTTTACACTAGAAAGACAAGGGAAAAACAAAAGATAGTGGAAGAAAAATCCCCATTTTGTTAAAGTTCATGTTGGAGAACTGCGTGCTTTGTGGCCCCAAAAACCATGTATATAACTAACCTGTTATACCCCTCCTGCTATAGCAGCCTAGCTATAATCCATTCATGCACAATCTCTAAGGAATTATAAGTTTCAAAAGAGATACTTACAAGCCAAACCCGCATTAATTCTGTATCTTCTTTACCTGACCTTAGAAATACCAAAACTACTCTAATCTCTTGTTCTCAATCTTTTTGTCCAAATGAGTGCTTCGCTCATCCTTTTCCCTTCTCTTAACTACTCTAATCTCTTGCTCTCAATCTTTTTGTCCAAATGAGTGCTTCTTTAGTAGTCTCCCTTCTGCTTATGCTCTTTCTTCTTCAAGAGGCTCAAGGTATATATGCCAAAGATATCATAATCATGTTAAGTTGCCCGAAGAGACCTTGTTTTTTCCTTGTATGGTTTAAATTAACATGAGTTGTTATTTGGTGTAGGGATTCGATTGGAAAAGGGGTTCAGGCAAGTTAGAGCTCAAAAGGTTCAGGTAAGCATTCAGTTCTTTGCACACTGTATGATGCATTGAAATTAAGGAATCGTTATAGTTCTTCATGTTAGCTTCAGTTCTGATGGGATTTCTTGTGATGCATGTGCAGGCTGATCAGGATAACACTTCTTTGAAGCAAATTAGTACTGAGGTTCTTGGAGAAGTCCTTCTTTGCAAAGAAGGGCATTGTACAAGTACCCTGAAGAAAAGAGTTTCTAGATCAGTGTCCAAGAAATCTTCACATCACTGGTCACCAAGGATTCATGAAGATTACTGTGGACCTAGGCATCACAAACCGAGACACCATTAGTTTCTCTCATCTAGCAACAATGACTGACTTTTATTTCAAGTCCTTGGTGAGTACCTTTTGAAGTCTGACTTGTATAAGAACTGATGGATTTTAGAGATTTAAACCCATGATGATCATATGTACTATAAAGCACTCTTGTTCCCAAGATGCTTATTAAACAGTTATTCTTTACAAGATTAATTTTTAGTACGAAGTTCATTTTCTATCAGCAGTTAATGCTAAGCATTTCTCGAAAGAAAAATGCTAAGAAGCTAGTTAATTTTTCTCCTAGTACCACATATCCACTAATATCCAATATTGTTGCAGAAATCAACAGGAAATGATTTGTAAACTACCTTTGCTTCTATCATTATCACCACCTCTAAAGTAGTTTATCTCAGAATTAGAAGCTTTAGTGGAATTCGCTGTTGGTTACTACATAATCACAAGTAAATTTGCTTAATTAGCTAGCAAGGGTACTGTGGATATACGAGAGAAACCACCACCACAGAAGGACCAGTTTTTTAGGATTATAAAGTCGATAGGAGTAACACGATTACAGAAATGCTGGAGTTTTTTGGGTTTGGGAAAGATTTTGTACACTAGGACATGGGCGTTCTTATACTATGATTTTGATGATTATTGAATCATCATGAGCACTTTGTGGATGCTGTCTAGGTTCTAGCTGTTACCCTATAAGTTGCATGAAATGATTTTAAATTCAGCTCACTGCATGGCAGGAGTGTATACTTTTTTCTTTTTTCT